CTTTTATTTTCCTTGCCTGAGGAGACAGATCCCCAAAAATATCACTAAGACTTATCTCAAAGGTTGTACTGCCTATGTTTTCTTCTGGGAGTTTTATGGTTTCCGGTCTTACATTTAGGTCTTTAATCCTTTTTGAGGTTACTTTGTATGTGGTGTGAGAGAATTTTCGAATTCACTCTTTTACGTGTAGCTGTCCAGTTTTCCTAGCACCAGTTATTGAAGAGATTACCTTTTCCCCACTGCATATTTCTGCCTCCTTCTTCATAGATTAATTGACCATATGTGCCATGGGTTTACTTCTGGGTTCTCTGTTCTGTTCCACTTATCTATGTATCTGTTTCTGTGCCAGTTACCATACTGTTTTGGTTACTCTAGCAACCTTGTGACAATTTTGGAACAACTATAACATCTACAAGGCCATAAAAAACATTGACTTTGCTTGGCGTGACTTTATGGCTGTCACCATGAATGGGCTTTGGAAGAACTTTTTTGTTTTGTTTTGTTTTTGTTTTTGTTTTTGTTTTGCGGTATGCGGGTCTCTCACTGTTGTGGCCTCTCCTGTTGCGGAGCACAGGCTCCGGACGCGCAGGCTCAGCGGCCATGGCTCACGGGCCCAGCCGCTCTGCGGCATGTGGGATCTTCCTGGACTGGGGCACGAACCCGTGTCCCCTGCATCGGCAGGCGGACTCTCAACCGCTGCGCCACCAGGGAAGCCCTGGAAGAACTTTTGCATGCAGTTTGTTCATGATTTTTGTGGATTTGAGAAGGTGGATGAGGAGTCCAAAGAGGCTTCAGCAACTTAGTGACCCTCAGCAAGAAGCTGGATCTAGATCTGCAAGAAGACAATTTCATTGAACTCCTTGCTGTGCAACATGAGGAGCTTACTAATGAAGACCTGCTGGAATTGGAGGCCCAGAGGAAGGACGAAGAGTGACAAGAAGAAGAAGAAGTAACTGAAGAACCAAAGAGATTCACAATACAGGAAATGGCATGGGTGTTTTCTTTATTTGAGGAGGTACTGTTAGTTTTTGAGGCACAGGACCCAAACACAGAACGATACACAAAGGTTGCAGCAGCTGCTCAGAGTGCAATCCAGTGCTACTGTGTCATCTATGATGAGAAAAAAAGAGCTACTACCCAGATATCATTGGATCATTTCTTCAAGAGGGTAGATAGAATTGAATCCAGCAAGGAACCAGAACCTGTGCCATCAGCGTCAGGCATGAGTGACATTGCATCTTGCCCTCCGTCTCCTATTGCTGATGACCCTTCAGTGCTACCATCTCCCACCTCCTCACCCTCCTCCAGTCAGTAACTCTTCCTGCCTGTTCACTTGATTCCAGCCCCTGGATGCCAGCAGTTGTACTGTACTACCACACTTTCCAAGGTACAGTACTGTAAGATTAAAAATGTTCTCTTTATTATTACTTTGTGTTTGTTTCTTACATATTATTTGTGTGAAAAGTATTATAAACCTATTACAGTACAGCACTATAGAGCTGATTGTGTTAGTTGGGTACCTAGGCTAACTTTGTTGGATTTATGAACAAATTGGACTTAAGGACGGGCTCTCAGAATGGAACTTGTTCGTATGTACGGGACTTACTGTAGAGTAGTCTTGGTTGTAGGTGTTTCCCTTTCAGGACTTGAATCTATCATGCCACTCCTTTCTGGCCTGCAATATTTCTGCAGAAAATCAGCTGATAGCCTTATGGGCTTGTATATGACTCTTTGTTTTTTTCTTGCTGCCTTTAGAATTCTCCCTTTAACTTTTGCCATTTGAAGTATGATATGTCTTGCTGTGGGACTCTTGGGTTCATCTTGTTTGGCATCTTTTGTGTTTTCTGTACCTGAAAATCTGTTTCCTTCTTCAGGCTTAGGAAAAATTTTCAGCCATAATTTCATCAAATACATTTTTACCCCTTTCTCTCTCTCTCCACCTTCTGGGACCCCTATAATGTGAATATTAGTACACCTGATGTTGTCCCAGTGGTCCCTTAAACTATCCTTATTTTTTAAAATTTGGTTTTGTTTGCATTGTTCTAAATGGGCCATTTCCATTATTCTATCTTCCAGATCACTTATGCATTTTTCTGTACCACTTAATCTGGTGTTAATTCCTTCTAGTGTATATTTCATTTTAGTTATTTTATTCTTCATCTCTGTTTTTTAAATTATTCTCTAGTGGTTTATTAAAATTGTCACTGTGTTCATCTATTCTTTTCCCCAGTTCAGTTAGCATTCTTCTTCTTCTTATCACTTTGAGCTCTTTATCAGGTTAATTTTTTATCTCTGTTTCGCTAGGGATTTTTTTTTTCAGGTCTGTTTTCTTGTTCTTTCATTTGAAACGTATTCTTCTATATTATTTTGTTTAACTCTCCCTGTCTCTATGAAATTAGGTGAAACAGTCATCTTTCCTGGTCTTGCATGTGTGTCCTTGTGTGGGAGCATCCCTGTGTGGTCTGCACTTGACCAGTGGCTTTGAAGGGAGAGCTGGGTCTGAAGTGGGCACAGCATGTATCTTCCCTTGGGGTGTGCTTGTAGTCACTACCTTGGTGGGAGGTAAGGCTGGACTTAGAGGGGCTAGAGCCAGATGCAGGTGTGAGCTGGGCTTCTGCTATGTTCAGTGGCTGTGATTACCCTATCGGGGGTGGGGTCAGGGCCCAAGGCATTGCAGCAGGAGCCCTGAGGGAGTTGATTTTCTGCTGAGTGTGATGACAGTCTCTGCCTTGGTTTGGGTTATGGCCAGGGCCTGAGGGCTTGGGGCTGCACTTCTACATTGGTTTCACTTTTTTAGTTGGTGTGTGTGCCTTGGTTAGAGGCTGGGTCAGGGCTGGAGAGGTTGGGGCCACGCTATTGAGCTGGTTTCACTCCTGCCAGTGATGTCAGTCTCTGCGCTGGAGCTAGTTTCCTTCCTCCCAGAGGTGGGCAGGGACATGTGCACTGGCGATGGCTGTCTCCACCCTGGTGAGAGGCTGGGGTCCAAGCTGGCTCTGTTCCCTCCAAATGGGCACACTCTTATTGGCCATGGCAGCCTTTGCCCTAGCAGAGAGCAGCTCTGGAGCTAGAGGGGCTGGAACAGGAGGCTGGTATGGGCTGGGGGGTGCACTGGGGTGATCCTGGCAAGCCAGCCAGAGCCCCAGGCAGTTTTTCATCTGCTGCCTCCATGCCATGACTGGAAGTGAGCAAGTCTATGTGTGTGCTCTTCAAGAGCTGAGTCTCAGTTTCTTACAGGTTCTTTTCAAACCAGCTAAGGAGCTTATCTTGGCCAGTGTTAAACCTTGGGCTGGGGTGCCTTATATGTGGCTCAGACCCCTCACTCCTCAGGGAGGATCCCAGCACCAGTGGTATCCTCTCCTCTTCTGGGTCCCTCACCAGGGGTATGCTTCTCCACCCTTCCTACCAGCTTTCATGTGGATCCTTTTTTTTTTTTTTTTTTTTTTGCAGTACGCGGGCCGCTCACTGTTGTGGTCTCTCCCATTGCGGAGCACAGGTTCCGGACATGCAGGCTCAGCGGCCATGGCTCATGGGCCCAGCCTGCTCTGCGGCATGTAGGATCCTCCCGGACCGGGGCACGAACCTGCGTCCCCTGCATCGGCAGGCGGACTCTCAACCACTGCGCCACCAGGGAAGCCCCATGTGGATCTTTACATATAGGCTTGGTTGTAGAAGAGTTGTCTTGCTAAGTTTCATGTTGATTTCAGTGAGAGTTATTTTACATGTAGTTGTATTTTTGATGTGTTTGTGATGGGGAGGTAAGCTCATCCTCCTCTCCCACCACCCTGATTTTTCTGGAGTGCTCCTATTTCAAGCCCACAACCCAGCGTGCCACCGCCACTGTGATGCTCATTTGAAAACTCAATACAGTAAGTCCCCTACACATGAACGTGTTCTATTCCGAGAGTGCATTCATAAGTCCAACAAAGTTAGCCTAGGTACCCAACTAACACAATCGGCTATATAGTACTGTACTGTAATAGTACATATCACACAAATGATATGTAAGAAACAAACACAAAAAATAAAGAAAATATTTTTAATCTTACAGTATCTTTAAAAGTACAACAGTATAGTACAGCAGCTGGCATACAGGGCCTGGCATTGGGTAAACAGGCAAGAAGGCGTTACTGACTGGAGGAGGGAGAGGAGGTGGGATATGGTGGAGCTGAAAGATCGTCAGCCAGAGGAGATGGAGGGCAAGCTGCAATGTCACTCCCACCTGACGTGGATGGAATGCACATTCGCACCTTTGAAAGTGCGCAACTTGAAGGTTCATATACAGGGGACTTACTATAGTGTCTTTTTCTAGATGCAGTGGCCGCTGATGGCTAAGCAGGCCCTGTGTGTTTTATGATGTTATCCCTGGTAACACTCTCTGCTAGCCCCGCCTCCTGCAGAGAAGCGATCTCCCCAAGGGCAATGAGGGAGAGTCAGGGCTGGATTCCAGAAACGGCCCGCCCAAGCCAGATCTCAGTTCAGCTGATGTCCACTCATCCCTCCTGTTCTAGTCCAGCCACCAGGAAGGACCACTGAGCCTGAGTGGGTGTGCCACATGCCCTAACATCCCTCAGCCCTGTCATTTCTTCCTGCCTTCCCACCCTCTCATCTCTGAGCCTGCATATTTGGTCCCTGTGCGTCTAGGGATGCTCTCAGGCCTTCTAGCCTTGAGCCTGGGTCTTTAGATTCCTGTGTTGTTGGGTTTTTCTGCTCTGGCCATGAGCACTTCCCTAGTGTGCTAGTCCATCTCTAGTGGGTTTCAAACTGGAGCTGCCTCAAAATTACCCAGAGGTTCGGATTCAAGAGGTCTGGAGAGGGTCCTTGTACTTTACCATGGCTGCTGGTGCTGGTGATGCAGGAGTGGGGGAGGGGGAGAGCCAGGGCCTGGCTCCACTGTTCCCTAACTGTGTGGTCTTGCATAAAAGCCAGAAGCTCTCTGGGCTCACTCTCTGCGTGTGTAAAGTGGGGATGCCCACACCTGTCTCATGCCATTGTTTCTAGAGAAGGCAGTGGTGATGGGGACTTCCCTTTGGTCCTCAGGCAGGTGCACCCTCTCTGTCTGGGTCTTCAGGTCTCTGCGGTGTCCATGTCCCCAAGATGGGCTACAAATGCCCCTGGCGCTCCTCACGGGGTCACACTGTCTTCAGGAAAAGGGGAGGAAAAGAGACGTGAGGATGAGAAAATTCTTCCACCCATAGCCTGACTTTCCTGTGATGAGAAAATCTATCACCAAACCTAACCAACAGGCAAATCATACAAATAACAGCAGCTACCGACCCATCTCACCTAGCAGGAGGCACTGCTGTAAGTCTATGTTTCGTCACTAATCCTCACAACCCTATGATTTGTGTATGTTTATCTCCTCCAGCTTTCCAGGGTGCTGTCCTGAGCCCAAGGCCATGTGGTGAAGCCAGAAATGGCAGCCAGATGGCCTCTTTTGGGGCCTGGGGTGACCACACCCCTCACTGCCTCAAGCTGGGGCTCCTAGACGTGCTCAGGGCTACTGTCCTCCCTGTCCTTCCTCCTGAGATGGTCCTTCTGGGAGGACTCAGCACACAGCAGCACACCCTCCTCCGGCCCTGCCCACTCCCTTTCCTGTGACCTCAGACACCCTGCTTGTTCCATGTGGGTCTGAATTAGGCATTTCCCCCCAGGTTTGTCAGTTTTAAATTCTATTTGACCAAACTGAGTCCCCTGGCATGCTGGCTTGGTGGCATCCCCAGCTGTTTTTCACCTTTCTTCTCCCAGGAAGGGTCAGTCTAGGACCCATTTTTGGACCCAGCTTCTCCTGGAATCCGTAATGGATGGCTCACAGGAAGAGAATGAGGCAGCTCACGGGAGCTCCTAGATTATAACTTCTCCTGCCCCTTGACTCTGAAATTGCGATAATGGCTACCTAGATGCTGTGCTTGTATTCCTATATCTAAATCTGTTATTTTACAAGTGAAGAAACCCAGGAACAAAGATGTTGTGTAACTTACCCAAGGTCACACAGCTAGTAAGTGGCAGTGCTGGGTCTGGCTTGAGAGACCAGAGTCTCAACCAGCATCTGTCCCGCCCCATGCTTGGCCCCTGCTGGCAAAATGCCTTGTCAGTCTTCCATTTTTCTTGGGAGGGAAAGTTTAGAAGGCAAGTCCTTCCTGGGGTGGGCTGTCTGACTCTTCCTTCCTGGCTCCTTCATCACCCTCCCAGCTCTCATAGTGCAAGGCACTGTGTCCAGATCCCCCAGCTTCTCTGCTAAGGGGCTCTGTGTGAGTTTCTGCTCACCCTGGGGTTGGGGTGGAGGGTTTGGAGCAGCAGTCGAAGATACAGGCATGATTTTGAACATTGCGAGTTCTACGAAAGGTCTCCCCATTGACAGTCTCTGTACTTTTCACAGATGTCCTGCGGTTCCCCTCTCTGGCTCCACTTCATCCTGTTGAATCCCGTGGCTCTCAAGGGAAAGAAAACCCTTTACTCAAGAAACTCACTTTAGATCCTTTGTAGAACAAAGCTTTTCTGGCCCTAATGGAAAAAGGGAAGCAAAACCAGCACCCAGAGCAAGGGTTTCTTATTAGCCATGCGCTTAATGGGACCTGTTTAGAATCACGCACTGTTTCCAATGTCTGCATTTTTGGAAGTGCCCCCTCCAGATGGCAGTGCATGCTGGGCTTCTAGAACTGGTCCATGCTGGCCACTTTCACTGAGGGTCTGGGCCGTGTGTGTCTTCTGGGCTTCTCAGATGGGTGGGGCTCTGGGGCAGGAGAGTAAATCTTGTTTTTCAGAAGAAAAGATGAGGCAGGAAGGGTAGCTGAGACCAGGGCTGGGCCAGGATGGGAGGAACTGGTGACAGCTGAGGACCCCTCAGCTCCTAGCTCTCTAAGACATGACCTCATCCAACTCTGACCACACCCTGTTCTGGAAGTGAGGAAAATATGCCTCAGAGAGGTTTAGCAGCTCTCCCAAGGTGGTTTGGCCAGTGAGGAACAGTCTTTCTGACTCCATGGCCAGATGTTCAGGGCTTTGCACACCAGCTATCTCCAGGTGGGTGTCAGCTTTCTCTCCCTGGAGAGTTTTGCTTTTCTCTTCACTGGTGAAAGGCTTGTATGTGAATTCAAAGAACAAAGTGAGCGTCAGAGGAAGAGGATATTTTCTCTGGAAAAGGCAGAAAACCCCAGCTTGGAGTCAGCAGCCAAAAGCTGTCAGTTCTGACAAGAGAGTGGCCAAGATTTCCCCTCCGTAGTCCCAGGACCCAGGAGAGCCTTGGCAACTTTACAAGAATAAATGATGGAGAGAACCAATGGCTCTCTCCACCTCTGCTGCTCTTTCCTGCCCCTCAGCCTCATGCCTGCTTTGGGAAACAAAACGGCACCAGCAGTGACAATAGAGGCACACACACACGCACATGCACGCATGCACACACACATGCACACGTGTGCACAGACACACACACACGCAGTTGCACACATATGTACACACATTCTTGCACACACATGCGCACACAGACGTGCACACACATACTTTACAGGACATGGAGGGTCTTGTGGTTTGGAAACAAAAGAGGAGGAACTGGGAAAATCTCAGTGGAGAGGACCCTGAATGCTTGACCTCCAGGAGTTGGTCACCCTTGGTTCCCATCAGACGTTGCTTCTTCCGTAAGCTCATCTTGTGCCCCTAAATATAAGATCCGTGACAGCAGAGACCACTATTCACTGCTGCATCCATGTGGCCCAGGAGAGGGCTTGACATCATGTGGCATTTTTAGAAAACAAATGTTTTTTTCACTGACCATAGCTGTCTGCAGGGACCTTGTGTGGGAACCAGGACCTGGGGATCGGGTGTTGGGGCTACAGGTTTCTCCTGAGATGAGCTGGCAGAGAGCTGAGATGAGCTGTTCAGGCGCACAGAGGCTGCCTCAAGCTCAGAAGCACAAGGGTGGGCAGAATAGAATGGGGTGGCTGCCTGTGGGCCCGGCGGGTTGATGCCCAGGAGGATGGAGAGATTGGAGCAGGGCATGAGATGTCGGGAGGTGGGGGTGAGGTGGGTGTCACCCTCCTGCTGCCCGCCCACCCCCCCGCTCCTCTCCTCATGCATGCCCCTACCCTTGTTGAATGTACCCAAGGCTTGCAACCCCTTCCTCTTTCTCCTGAACTCTTTGGGCTGCTGGTGGGATGCCCTCCCCCCATTAGAGGTGGGAGAAGCCAGGGAGGTGACCCAGTTCAGCCCCCCTTGAATCCACTGCATTGTAGAGACACTGCCTCCTACCTCCCAACCTCTTCAGCTTTACTTGTTTGCCGGATTTTTTTTGCACCTTATAGTGGAAAATTTTTAAACATTTACAAAAATGGAGAGAAAGTATAATGAACCCTCTATGCCCATCAACGATTTTTTTTCATGATTCTTGATATTTGCCAACCCTGTTTCATGTCTTTCACATTTTTCCTGGATGGTTGTAAAGCAGACCCCAGACATTAAGTCATTTCACTTGTAAACATGTGAATATGCATATTTTGTTGATAAGGACATTTTCTTTTTAAACATAAGGTCAGTCACCCTACCCTCATCTGGCTGGGAATGTCTCTTCAAAGCTGGCCACCAACAATCCCTCCCGTTTCTACCCCATTCCTCAGGAGTGTGAAGGCTGGGCCCCATCCCTCGAATCTCGGCCAGGCTTGTGACCTGCTTTAACCAATATAACGTGATGGAAGGAACACCACGTAATGTCCAAACCCAGGTTAACAGGCCTTGCAGTCTCTGCGTTTTCCTTCTTGGGACCCAGTTGCCATGTAGTGAATCTTGGTCTGGAGTATAAATGTTGAGATTCCATGAACAGAGGGAGCCAGATGGCTGCAAGAGCCCCAGCCACCTCCGCAGAGGCATCAGACATGTGGATGAAGTCGTCTAGAATGTTCCTGCCCACCTGGGCTCCCAGCTGAGTGGAGCCACATGAATGACCCCAGCCAGGACCACACTCAGTGAAGAACCCCTCAGGTAAGCCAAGCTTCACTTCGCAGAATAAACGGTCATCCCGCTTGAAGCTCGGCAGTTAGGGTGCGTGGCCCAGCCCATGATGTGAGCTGTTCACAGCAGCCCCTTCTTTGCTAAGGGAGGGATTCTAAGCTGTGGGGAGGCCGTGGTGAGGAGGTATCTCTTCAACCAGGCAGGAAAGGGTCTGGAGAGTGTGCATCTCGCTCCCAGGGAGTCCTGACTGGGCCAGGCAGGCTCTGGCTCCTGCAGAGTAGGTGCAGGGCCCTTGCAGCCTGGCCCCCAGGGATCCCCCTGCCAGCACTGGCTGAGTGCTCTTGGGCCGGCCACTTCACTACTGTTAATCACAGTTACCTCATCTCCAAAACTGAGGAAACACGGCTTGAGTCCTGGGGCTGCAATGAAGATGAGACAAGGACACAGATGAGGGAGCGGCAGTTCCTACCCTGAGTAACCTTCCCATGTTGTGACCTTCTAGGGAGCTGGGATCCAGGAGACCAACAAACCAGCTGAGATGTGACTTGGGCTCTTACTGAGTCCAAGCTCACTCTGCTTGCTGCACGACATGTCAATAAATTGGGAGATGAGGTGTTGAGGCAAGGAATAACGATTTTATTCGGAAAGATGGCAGACGGAGAAGATGGCAGACTAGTGTCCCCAGAAACCATCTGATTGGAGGCTGGATACCAGTTTCTCTTATAGAACAGAGAGGGAGAGGTGGTGAGGAAGTAAAGTAAAAGGCCATTAGTCTTGTAAGATATCTCCTTTCTTGGCCCTCATCAGGGAGGGGATGTGTTAGTCTCTTCTTTTCTGCAGCCATTCATAGTTGGGCAGGGTTCCCTGTGACAGGTCATTATGTATGCTTACAGCTATAGACAGCATCCTTTTAGTGATTTATAATAACAAAAGCAACATAAAGCAAAGGTTAAAGTAAAAGAAACAGATCCAACATGGAGTCAGATTTCCCTCTTCCCTGTTACAATTCCCCACTGTCAATGTCCATTCCACAATGTGGGGAAAAGGGACGAGGACCACTCTTGGTTACTTCCTGCTGTGTAAGGGTAATGAGGGGTGATTGTAGAATGCAACTGATCAGCCTTGGGCAGGGGATAATTCTTAGAATTGTTAATGCAAGTTCATGTGCTGGACACACAGTGAGGCCAAACAAACTGAAACATCAGAGTTTGGAGCAGAGAAAGGTTTATTGCAAGACCATGCAAGGATACAAAGTGGCTCATGCCTTAAAAAGCCTTGAGCTCCCCGAAGGGTTTCAGCAAAGCATTTTTAAAAGCCAGGTTGAGGGGGAGATCAGATCGTGAACAGTTCTCTGATTGGCTGATGGTAAGGCAGCAGGGTGGTGTCAAAGGGGTTAACTTTATCAGTCTTTAGGCTCCAGGAAGCCTGGGGGTTATGTGCTTCTGGTCATCAAGTAGTTAATATCTTCCATTTGGTGAGGGGTTTTCACATCTGCAAAACAACTCAGGAAATTTGCATCAAATACTATTATCTATGTACTTCAGAGAGCAGCTAAAGCAGGGGACATGGGGGAAGGTCTGTCCCAGGAAGGCCCCATAGGGTCCTGCTCAGTTACATAGTTTTTAGTAAATAGTACAACTCTCAATTATTTGAACCTGATGCTCTGTTGTTCAGTAGACCCACCCTTCTCAAGCTGTAAAGAAATTGCAGTCTCAACACCTATCACTTTTGAAGAGCAACCTTAGGTCTTCTAAGGGTTCACAAACCCACTGCTCTCCAAGCCTCTCAGGAGTTGTGTCATTTTAGATGATGGTGGTGCAGGTTTAATGCAAGTATGATGAATCCAAGGCTTTATCCCAGCCTATCTGACAGATGAATGCATGGTGAGTAATACCACATGTGGTCCTGTCCACCTTGCAGTCAGCTGGTGCCCAGGCCTTTATTCTCTCCAGGTTTTAAGGAGGACTTGATCTCCGGGTCAGAAATGATGTAGGGTACTTCAGTTGGATAGGCAGATCTGCTGGAAGCAAACTCATGAACAGAGGTTAGCATAGTGCCTGAAGCTTTAACATAATTAGAAACAGCTAGGTCTTTCGGAGCATTTACAGATTCCCCTGTCCAGGCAGACACCTGGAATGGCCTGCCATACGATATTTCAAAGGGGATTAATTTAAGCCTGCTTCTGGGAGCCACTCTGATCCATAGCAGGGCAACTGGCAACGCCTTATCCCAAGTTAAATTAGCTTCTTGCCATGTTTTAGCAACGCTCCTTTTCAATGTATGATACATTTTCTCACTTTTTCCTGTTGATTGTGGTCTCCAGGGTGAATGTGACTTCTAATCAATTTGCAGCACTTTACACACTTTTGGAGTTATGCTAGAGAAAAGAGCAGGTCCATTATCACTCTGAAGGGTGTTAGGCAGTCCAAACCGGGGAATAATTTCCTTAAGGAGGACTTTAACTAGTTTGGAGGCTTTTTCTATTTGTGTGGGATATGCTTCCACCCATCCTGAAAAAGTGTCCACACACCAGCAGGTATCTGAAGTTTCCTGCAACTCGAGGCATTTGAGTAAAGTCTATTTGCCAGTCCTCGGTGGGGCAGGTCCCTTTGTGCTGGGTCCCCATCTGGGAAGGTCTGACAGCAGTTTTGGGGTTATTTTTAGCACAAATCATGCAATTCCGTCTGACTCACTGGATGGTCTTTTGCCGGTGAGGTCCAAGTATATACTTTTGAATCCATTGCAGGCATCTCTCCCGTGATGTGTACTGTCATGGATGTGCTTCAGCACAGTGTCCCAGAGGGCCTCAGGAATCAAAACAGTTCCTTGTGCATTACCTTTCCAGCCAGGTGAGTCATGGCCGAAGTGAAACCCCACTCTTTGGTCCTCTCCTTGTCCTTTTCTGAATACACTGGCTGATATTGTGACAAGTCGATCTGTGAGAGAAGTGACCCAATCATGGCTTGATAATCACCTTCCTTTGCTGCTTTCTTTGCAACTTGGTCAGCTAATCCATTGCCTTTTATTATATGAGTCTCGCCCTTCTGGTGGCCTGGGCAGTGCATCACAGCCATTTGTGAGGGCTTATGGACTGCTTCTAATAGTGACAGGATTTCAGAAGCATGTTTTATGTCTTTATTGTTTGAAGTGAGAAGCCCCATTTCTTTCCAGATCGCCCCCTGAGCATGCACCAAAGAGAATGCATAGTGGGAATCTGTGTATATATTTACTCACGTCCCTTTAGCAAGGAGCAGGGCTCTTGTCAGAGCAATGATTTCTGCCTTCTGAGCTGAGCTTCCTGGGGGCAGGGCTTTTGCTTCAACGATCCTTTTAAGCGTTACCACTGCGTACCCGGCACATTGCCTACCTTGGTCCATGAAGCTGCTTCCATCGGTGAACGATTACATATCTGGCTCAGCCAAGGGGGTCCGTTGTGTCCGGTCTGCTAGGATACAGTAGCTCGATGATGTATAGGATGTGTATATATATATATATATATATATATATATATATAGGATATGTATAGGATGTATATGTATATAACATGTATAGGATGATGTATAGCCTATATGATGTATAGGCTCTGAGGATTGTGCAGCAGCCATCGGGAGCAATGTGGCTGGATTTAGGGCTGAAGGGACTTGAAGTCTTATGTTGGGATTGTCCAGGAGAATGGCTTGGAACTTTCCCATTCTCCAGGAAGTCAGCTGATAGCCGGCTTTCTGTTCCAGCAAAGAAAGGACACGTGAGGAACATACACAGTGTTCACAGTGGTGGTCTGCCCCAGGGTAAACTTCTCACCTTCCTGAAGTATATCCTAAGTAGCTGTACAGCTCTAAGGAAAGGAGGCCCCCCCTTAACAGTCTGTTATAGTTGTTTTGAGAAGTAGGCAGTGGGTGGAAGGATATTCCCCAGAGTTTGAATTAACACCCCAAGGCTTATGCCTTGTCTCTCATGGACATACACTTTGAATGGTGTCTTTAAGTCCGGTAGTCCCAAAGCCGGTGATGAGACTAACTTCTTTTTTATTGTTTCAAAGGCTGTTTGGCACTCTAGCCTGCAATTACCTGCTTTCTGTCAGGCAAAAGATCCCGCTATCCTTGGGAGAGGACAAAGCCCAGATAAGAGATTTGCTGTTTGCCTATCTGGGTCTTTTTCTGGGGACATTATATCCACAATTAGCTAAATAATTCAGGGTTCTGATGGTATTTTGTAGACATTTATCATATGTAGGGCTCGCTATGAGCAAGTCATCCACATAGTGGAGCAAGAGTCCTTCATCCAATATTAAGTTTCTAAGGTCTTTAGCCAACATCTCCCCAAACAAGGTGCAGGAATACATTTTTATTTAGGATCTTTATTGGAGTATAATTGTTTTACAATATTGTGTTACTTTCTGCTGTATATAAAAGTGAATAAACTATATGTATATATATATATATCCCCATATCCCCTCCCTCTTGTGTCTCCCTCCCACTCTCCCTATCCCACCCCTCTAGGTGGTCACAAAGCACCAAGCTGATCTCTCTGTGCTATGTGGCTGCTTCCCACTAGCTATCTATTTTACATTTGGTAGGGTATATATGTCCATGCCACTCTCTCACTTCATCCCAGCTTACACTTCCTCCTCCCTGTGTCCTCAGGTCCATTCTCTACATCTGCATCTTTATTCCTGTCCTGCCCCTACGTTCATTAGAACCATTCTTTTTTTTTTTTTAATATTCCATATATATGTGTTAGCATACGGTATTTGTTTTTCTCTTTCTGACTTACTTCACTCTGTATGACAGACTATAGGTCCATCCACCTCACTACAAATAACTCAATTTCATTTCTTTTTATGGCTGAGTAATATTCCATTGTATATATGTGCCACATCTTCTTTTTCCATTCATCTGAAGATGAACACTTAGGTTGTTTCCATGTCCTGGCTATTGTAAATAGAGCTGCAATGAGCACTGTGGTACATGACTCTTTTTGAATTATGGTTTTCTCAGGGTATATGACCAGTAGTAGGATTGCTGGGTCATATGGTAGTTCTATTTTTGGTTTTTTAAGGAACCTCCATACTGTTCTCTATAGTAGCTGTATCAGTTTACATTCCCACCAACAGTGAAAGAGGGTTCCCTTTTCTCCACACCCTCTCCAGCATTTACTGTTTGTAGATTTCTTGATGATGGCCATTCTGACCAGTGTGAGGTGATACCTCATTGTAGTTTTGACTTGCATTTCCCTAATGATTAGTGATGTTGACCATCCTTTCATGTGGTTGTTGGCAATCCGTACATCTTCTTTGGAGAAATGTCTATCTAGGTCTTCTGCCCATTTTTGGATTGGGTTTTTTGTGTTTTTGATATTGAATTGCGTGAGCTGCTTGTGTATTTTAGAGATTAATCTGTTGTCAGTTGCTTCATTTGCAAATATTTTCTCCCAGTCTGAGGGTTGTCTTTTCATCTTGTTTATGGTTTCCTTTGCTGTGCAACAGCTTTTGAGTTTAATTAGATCTCATTTGTTTATTTTTTATTTTATTTCCATTTCTGTAGGAGGTGGGTCAAAGAGGATCTTGCTGTGATTTATGTCAAAGAGCATTCTTCCCATGTTTTCCTCTAAGAGTTTTAGAATATCTGGCCTTACAATTAGGTCTTTAATCCATTTTGAGTGTATTTTTGTGTATGGTGTTAGGAAGTGTGTGCACTTCATTCTATTACATGTAGCTGTCCAGTTTTCCCAGCACCACTTATTGAAGAGGCTGTCTTTTCTCCATTGTATATTCTTGCCTCCTTTAGCAAAGGTAAGGTGACCATATGTGCATAGGATTATCGCTGGGCTTTCTATCCTGTTCCATTGATCTATATTTCTGTTTTTCTGCCAGTACCATACTGCCTTGATTACTGTAGCTTTGTATTATAGTCTGAAGTCCAGGAGCCTGATTCCTCCAGCTCCGTTTTTCTTTCTCAATATTGCTGTAGCTATTTAGGGTCTTTTGTGTTTCCATACAAATTGTGAAATTTGTTGTTCTAGTTCTGTGAAAAATGCCATTGGTAGTTTGATAGGGCTTGCACTGAATCTGTAGATTGCTTTGTGTAGTATAGTCATTTTCACAATATTGATTCTTCCAGTCCAAGAACATGGTATATCTCTCCATCTGTTTGTATCATCTTTAATTTCTTTCATCAGTGTCTTATAGTTTTCTGCATACAGGTCTTTTGTCTCCTTAGGTAGGTTTATTCCTAAGTATTTTATTCTTTTTGTTGCAGTGGTAAATGGGAGTGTCTCCTTAATTTCTCTTTCAGATTATTCATCATTAGTGCATAAGAATGGAAGAGATTTCTGTGCATTAATTTTGTATCCTGCTATTTTACCAAATCATTCATTAGCTCTAGTAGTTTTCTGGTAGCATCTTTAGGATTCTCTATGTATAGTATCATGTCATTTGCAAATAGTGACAGCTTTACTTCTTCTTTTTTGATTTGGATTACTTTTATTTCCTTTTCTTCTCTGATTGCTGTGGCTAAAACTTCCAAAACTGTGTTGAATAATAGTGGTGAGAGTGGGCAACCTTGTCTTGTTCCTGATCTTAGTGGAAATGTTTTCAGTTTTTCACCATTGAGGACAATGTTGGCTGTGGGTTTGTCATATGTGGCCTTTATTATGTCTAGGAAAGTTCCCTCTATGCCTACTTTCTGCAGGGTTTTTTATCATAAATTGGTGTTGAATTTTGTCAAATGCTTTCTCTGCATCTATTGAGATGATCATATGGTTTTTCTCCTTCAATTTGTTAATATGGTGTATCACATTGATTGGTTTGTATATATTGAAGAATGCTTGCATTCCTAGGATAATCCCCACTTGATCACAGTGTATAATCCTTTTAATGTGCTGTTGGATTCTGTTTGCTAGTATTTTGTTGAGGATTTTTGCATCTATGTTCTTCAGTGATATTGGCCTGTAGTTTTCTTTTTGTGTGACATCTTTGTCTGGTTTTGGTATCAGGGTGATGGTGGCCTCGTAGAATGAGTTTGGGAGTGTGCCTTTCTCTGCTGTATTTTGGAAGAGTTTGAGAAGGATAGATGTTAGCTCTTCTCTAAATGTTTGATAGAATTCGTCTGTGAAGCCATCTGGTCCTGGGCTTTTGTTTGTTGGAAGATTTATAATCACAGTTTCAATTTCAGTGCTTGTGATTGGTCTGCTCATATTTTCTGTTTCTTCCTGGTTCAATCTCGGAAGGTTGTGCATTTCTAAGAATTTTTCCATTTCTTTCAGGTTGTCCATTTTATTGGCATATAGTTGCTTGTAGTAATCTCTCATGGTCCTTTGTATTTCTGCAGTGTCAGTTGTTACTTCCCCTTTTTCATTTCTAATTCTATTGATTTGAGTCTTCTCCCTTTTTTTCTTGATGAGTCTGGCTAATGGTTTATCAATTTTGTTTATCTTCTCAAAGAAGCAGCTTTTAGCTTTATTGAGCTTTGCTATCGTTTCCTTCCTTTCTTTTTGTTTTATTTCTGATCTGATCTTTATGATTCTTTCCTTCTGCTAACTTTGGGTTTTTTGTTCTTCTTTCTCTAATTGCTTTAGATATAAGGTTAGGTTGTTTATTTGGGCTGTTTCTTGTTTCTTAAGGTAGGATTGTATTGCTATAAACTTCCCTCTTAGAACTGCTTTGCTGCATCCCATAGGTTTTGGGTCGCCGTGTTTTCATTGTCATTCACTAGGTTTTTTTTGATTTCCTCTTTGATTTCTTCAGTGACCTCTTCGTTATTAAGTAGTGTATTGTTTAGCCTCCATGTGTTGTATTTTTTACAGATTTTTTCCTGTAATTGATATCTAGTCTCATAACATTGTGGTCAGA